AGATGAAAAGAACTGAAATTTAGCCTACCAAACATTTTAGCATTTTTATTAGCTTCTGTTAGTTATACAAGGAAATTTCATTGTTATATTTCCAGACATTTATAATAGTACATTCCAATCAATCTCACCCAATTTCTAAATTAATTTAGAAACTATCAGTTACTGATAACTGCATATATATTTTGCACTAGGTAATAAACAATGCATAAAAAGTCTCTTCGAGTACCTTTCAACATATGTGAAAAGGATATGCACATTTATAAATAGGTTTAAAAACAAAAAAACAAAACAAAACAAACATAAACACCCATTTGCTCTGCAAACATTTCCTGAGTGTCTATCAGTACTTGATAATGAGGATGCAAAGATCAAGACTGTCCTGGAAGAACTGCCAACCCAGTGAGAGAGGGGAAACTACTGAAGCTACAGAGTATGAGTGTGGTTCTGTGAGGTCAGGCAGGCAGAAATGCCCAAATCTAGCCAGGTGTCCGTGACTCAGCCTGTCATCCTAGGTACTCAGGAGGCGGAGATCTGAGGATCACAGTAGGAAGCCATTCCAGGCAGGAAAGCCCATGAGACTGTATCCCCAATTAACCACCAAAACGCCACAAGTGGAGTTGTGATTCAAGTGGTAGAATGCTAGCCTTGAGCAAAGAAAAAAAGTTTAAGGACCGTGCCCAGGCCCTGAGTTCAAGCCCCAAGAATGGGTACAAAATAAGAAAAAAGAAAAAGAAATGCCCAAGTCAGTGAACAGTTGAAGTACCAAGCATGGCTTCCAAATGAAACAAACCTAAGCTGAGCCTTAAGGCATGTAGTAAGTTTATTAGTACTCAGAAAAGATTAGGAAATAGGGATAGCAGCTTTTGTAGTTCTCCTAATGGTTGGTGGGGTGACGGAAGAGAAGGGGGAAAAATGGAGTTACCACTGGCATTCAACATCCGAGAACGAAGGATGTTAAAAGTCCTACAGGGCCAGATAAATACTGCATGAATTGACCCACTCCAGTACCAACAATTGAGAAATTTCTGTTGAGAAATCAAAGTAGATGAAAGATTTGCCAAGTAGATCCTGTAATGAGTGGATGGTTGATGAGGCAGAAGAAAAAGAAGTGTAAAATAAAGATGCGACCTCTAGACCTAAGAAACCAATGTACAGGTGGGGATGGAAAACAAGAATGAAAACTTGTCCCATATATGATAATATGTCATACTTCCTATGTCATAGGAAGGCCAAAGATAAATTCAGGAGACATTTACAAGGCAAAATGGACAAGATTCAGTGCTGAGCTAGATACAGTGGAGATTATAAGGACTAGAGGAACGTCTGGTCTCTTGGATGAGAAACTAGATGAGTCATAGCACCAACCTGGATGCTGAATAGAAAAACCAGCCAAGAGCGCTGGAGAACAAAAAAGATAACTGTCTGACCATCAAATTGCTTCATTGGTAAAACAATCCAAAAACCACAATGGAAATTCACCCCTCATCAGGTTCATGGGGTCTACACAAATGTGACTATACAAAGAGTTGATTTTTAAAAATTAAAAAAAAAAACAACTATGACTTTTCTATTAAGTATTATATGCTACAATAGTTCCAAAGGAATCAACTTCAGATTGTTTATTTTTTAAAAATTATCTTAAATAGTACAAAGAGCATGAAGAAATATAATGTCAAAAAGAATTATAATGTCTTGCCCTTGAGAAGTTTCCAAACAAATATAAACATAGGCACAGTTAGCAAAAATCTTAAGGTATTTCTCACATTCTAGCAAAGTAACAATAGTCAACACAAATGATATCCTGATGTAATCCCTAGGAAAGTAGTAAACAAATTCTTTGTTTTAAAAATGTATCTACCAGGTAAGATTCCTATTTTACAGTATAACATCACACTCAATATATATTGAAATTCCCTTTAAATAAAACATAAAGGCAGTATTAGTATTGACATCTGAAAAATATTGCAGAAAATGTAAATTGTGCAACCGTATAAATTCCATTGAGATTAATAGTTTTATTACATGATATGTAAGTTCTTCATTGATATTTCAAATCAAGAGACACCAAAGAAAGACAATCTTAACTTGGACAACCAGGTGGCTGTGCTCCAAATATTCAATGCCAGCTGAGAAACAGGTAGAAGAATTTAGAACTTTGATTCTTCATAGTATTAACTTCATACTAAGTCCTCAGAAAAGCCTAATGTTCCTTTCTCAAGTCATTTTCGGTGTCTCTCAAACGTCAATGTACTTACAAAGGCAAAACTGGTAGCTATTATGATCCACCATTAGAAAAGGACTAGGAGTATTGGGATGGAGCTCATGGTAGCACATTTGCCTACTACAAAACATTGGCTTTATAGACCTTTCATCAACTGGTCATAAATTAACCACTGGAGCTTTCTTTTGAACTGCATATCTATATCAAACCCTCCCCAATCCCACCATGAGCCACCTCTCCCTCCATGATCTAGGTCCCATTTGTTCCTAATAGCTGGGAAACTTTATGCCCTCTGTACTCTCTTCTCAGATATATTCAGATTCTCCCTTCTTGGGAGTTCCCTTTCTTCTGGCATTGTGGTCAGCACTGAAACTTCTAAGAATAAACCAAGGTCTAGAAAGCCAAGGTCTCCTGAAAGAGGCACACAAACAGCTCATGACATGTAAAGAATATAAAAGAAAAGCACTGCTTATTAGCAGAAAACACAAGTAAGATGCTAATTCTGCCATCAATAAACAGGTTAAACTTGTAGGATAAGAGCACTGAAATATTTAGTGGATTTCCTTTCTGTTCTGTTATGGCTATAACCTCAGAACCCAGCAGGAGGCTAGGGGTTCACACCTGTAATTGTAACCACTTGGAAGACTGAAAATGAGAGGATCACAGTTTAAGCCCAGCCTGGGGCAGAAAAGTTTGCAAGACTTTTCTTAACCTATAGCTGGGTGCAATAGCATGTTTGTTGTCCTAAAATAAATGGGAAGCTGTGATTGGAAGGATTTTGGTGCCAAACCACCCTGGATAGAAAAGTCTTTAAGAGGGCTGGGAAGTGTGGTAGAGTGCTTGCCTTGCATGCATGAGGCCCTGGGTTTGATTCCTCAGCACCACATAAGCAAAAAGAAAAAAGCTGGAAGTGGCGCTGTGGTTCAAGTGGTAGAGCACTAGCCTTGAGCTGAAGAGCTGAGGGACAGTGCCTAAGCCCAGAGTTCAGGCCCCATAACCAACCAAAAAAAAAAAGAAAGAAAGAAAGAGGGCTGGGAAGGTGGCTCAGTGGTAGAGTGCTTGCCTTGTATGCATGAGGCCCTGGGTTCGATTCCTCAGCACCACATAAGCCGAAAAATAAAAAAGTCGGAAGTGGCACTGTGGCTCAAGTGGCAGAGCATTAACCTTGAGCTGAAGAGCTGAGGGACAGCACCCAGGCCCAGAGTTCAGGCCCTCGACCGGACCCCCACCCCAAAAAAAAAGAAAAGAAAAGAAGTCTTCAAGACTTCATCCCAATGAAAAAAGATGCACACTGGGGGTCAGTCTGTGACCCCAGCAACTAAGGGGGAATCCTAAAGTCAGTATGTGGATCAAGGTTCTGGCATATGTCTGGATGAAAAGTAAGACTCTACCCTAAAAATAATCAGCAAAAAGCAGGGCTGAGGCCAGGCACTGGTAGCTTATGCCTGTAATCCAAGCTACTCAGGAGGCTGAGAGCTGAGGATCAAGGTCAAAGCCAGCCTAGGCAAGAAAGTCCATGAGACTCTTATCTCCAATTAACTACCAGAAAATCAGAATGGTGGGTGCTGTGGCTTATAGGAGTAGAGTGCTACCCTTGAGCAAAACAGCTCAGGGACAGCACCCAGACCCTCAGTTCAAGTCCCACGGCTGACAAAAACAAAAACAAAAAAGGGCTGAAGGTGTGGCTTGGCAGTAAAGCACCAGCCTAGCAAGCATGAGCCTCTAAGTCTGGAGCTCCTAGTAATACCAAACAACAACAACAACAAAAACGATCTCAGAAACCCTACTGCTCAAATGTTAACAGACTATGGTTAAGAATTATTTTAAGGCTGGTCATACCTGTAATCCTAGCTACATGAGAAGAGTAAATAGGCATTTTATGTACCAAGTTAGGCTCAAGAGGTAGAAGAAAAGCCTAACAACTGGGAAGCCTTGAGTTCAATCTCAGTACTACAGAAGAGGGTTACTTTAAATGAATAGTTGAACTTTTCCTGGAAAGGAGAGTTCTCCGAGAAAGCCATCAATATTCATTTGAAAGTACAATGATACCCTATTAAGAATCTTTGTCCTAGATAGTTTTGCTTTGTCTTTTAACCCACAAGATTTGCTTTTTCTTCTTCCAAACAAGATACTTTATTTAGATCACCAAAAACAACAATTTATAGAAAAAGGATTGCAATATTACACAACAAAGTAAAACTGTAAGGTCTAAAACAAGATAGGGAATGCTATCCTTAGATCACCAAAAATTATGTTTCACAAAGAGGGAACTGTTCCAAGCTATCAGTATCAATTCCCTCTAAAATACTTTTGAGACTACTTGGGCTTTCCAAGCACAAACTAAAATTGGTTTGCCAGAGTTCTGCTAAGCCTCATCACGCAAATAAAAAGTTTGCAAAAAACATTTTGTTTAATGCTAACAGATAATTAACAGTGTGGTTCTCACTAACAACCAATATCTACCAAACCAACCTCACCTACCTACACTTTAACAGCTCACTATAAACACAACTGTTCTTTTCTTGCCACTACAGATGGCCTATGCAACACAAAGAGTTATATTGGAGTTCAGGTACCCAGGAAGTAATTCTTAACAGCAAAAACTTAACAGTATGTGAGCAAGTCAAATAACCAAGCCCAAGCATGCCTCTGCCACAGCCCCACAGGTGGGACCATGTTTGCCCTCTCCTGAAAGAAGGATCACCATTAGTTGTTCACCTGGAAGCCAGAGCACAAAACCAGAAAGAACAGCTGTTCTTACGGAACTATCAAAACTTTACTATACTGCCTTGGGATTTTTGGTGCTGTGATGCACCTCACAAGCAGCGACATAAGCCGATTCTGGGAATAAGTCGTCACGATACTCCGCTAAAAATCTCAGAAAGAGATCCAAGTGCTTCAGTAAAGCCTTCAGATTCTTCTCTGCAAGGGACATCTTTCCAAGTATTTCTGGCAGTTTCACAAACAATCTCAGCAAATGTTGTGCTCCATAAATGTAAGAGGGTGGAGGTGGCTGGTCAACTGGGGGGTAATTGTCTGGCACAAGCTTCCACGAGAGGACCTTGTTTATTTCGGTGGTTCTTTTTCCTTCAAGACCAGCCAACAGGGCAATCCCTTCCATACTAGGAGTCGGAGGAACGGGAGCAGATGACCCGCTGTGCACAGGTATCTTCTTCTCCAAGTGCAGGAACAATCTGGGCATTCCCGGGGGCGGGTCCTGCTGGCGGCGCTTGAGCTGAGGCGACGCGCTGTTCTGGGATCGCCCGTCCAAACTGGTGGTGTGGCGCGTGGAACGCCTCAGAGGCCGTGAGGACGACGACTCGGCCTCGGCTCTGCGCCTCTTGGGGGTGGCCGACTCACTGCCGGTCGGCTGACTCTCCGTGGACTGTGGCGGGAAGGGATTCAGCAAAGGCGGGCTGGGAGAGGGTTCCCCTGGGCAATGAGTATTTGTACTACTCTCTTTAATGGGAAGGAAGAAATCAGACGAAGTCGTCCTCCGATACTGGGCTTGTTCGTAGGGGTAGAGCAAAACCAACGGGAGCATGGCATCGAAGGTTATTCTCAATCCGTCCACCATCTCCTTACAAAGGTCAATGTTCTTTTCCACGGGGATGTCGGGCGCACCGTCGGGGGCCGGCCCCACGGCATGATGGTGGCGAGGCCGGTCGCTGGTGGCAGAGGCAATGTTGATAGCAAAATGCTTCACGTAAGATTCCAAGATGGTGAGGACGTTGGTGTGGCAGGGAAGGCGGACCAACCGCTTCCTGCGGTTGACGCAGTAGCAGTCGTCCTCCAGCTGCTTCTTCAGCACCTCGGGGATGTCCAGCGCCACGGTCCGGTCTTCCATCGTCCTGGGGACGCCGGGCTCCCGTCTGGGCTTCAGGGCCACTTTCTCTACTTACTCCTGCGCCCGGAGGAACTGCTTATTGGATTTTCATCATTTTCATCTTCCTCGTCGTGAGCGGCCCTGGTCCAGGCCCAGTCAGCACCGGGGGCCCGCAGGAAGGCCGCTTCCCGCTTCCGGGGCCTCCGGGGCTTCGGAGCAGGCCAGCTTCCGCTTTCCTGGGCCTAGTTACGCTCTGGTTCATGACTTCCACCCGTACCGCAATCGCAGCAACCCATTTATCCTGGCTTCTGTGTCGGCTAGGAAAACGCACCTGGTATTCTGGGATCTTTCCTTTTCGTCTTCCCCAGCAGAAATAGGCCCAAATGCCAGAGAGTTAACTACGGCGCTGCCGCCGCTGCCTCTAACCACCACCTGCCTGGCTGTACAACAGCGCATGCCCTACGCGATGCAGCCGGAAGCGGAAGTCAAGGTTGGCTTGTAACGCCCACAGAGGGCCCGAGGCGGTCTTGCCCCTTGACCCATGAGTGGCAGAGTTAGAACTGAAACCTCCACGTAAGGCCCAAGAGTTACAGCTCTAATCAAAACGCAGAAGCAACTGAGAAACTATGACCACTGGCTAATGGAAGAGACTAGATCCATTTTCTGTCCTGGTTTATGTTCTGAGTCTTTAATATGGAGAGAAGTATTTCCTGAATGCTTTAACTAAGAAACATACAAAACGGACCTCTTCTGGGACTCCGTTTGAGGTGAACACAGAATTAAAAGACTCATACAGGTTCCATCCCGCTGAACATAGGCACGGAATTCAAAACCGTAAAACACTTGACAAAACTCTCCATCACCAAAAAATAGAGGGAGGGAAGAGGAGGAGTTACGCAACAGAATCCTGGCACTCGTGGGATTTCATTTTAGTAATAACATGGTGCATGATCACAAAGAAAAATATGAGTTGTGTGTGGTAGTACATACCTCTAATCCCAGAACCCAGGAAGAAGAGGCAGGAAGATTGTGAATTGAAGATCAGTACTGGCTACACTGCTAAATTCCAAAGGCCTGTTAAGTAGTCACCAGTAGCAAATCTATCCCACCTCTAATCCATCCTGGATGTTGATGCCAGGTTAAAATCTTCAATACTCAAAGTCACTATTACCCTTCTGATCAACATTAGTCCTCAGGCTAGGTACTGGAGACTCACACCTGTAATCCTAGCTACTCAAGAGGCTGAGTTCTGAGAGTATCTAGGTTCAAAGCCAAGTGGGGCATAAAAGTCCATGAAACTCTTATCTCCAAATTAACCACCAAAAAGCCAGAAGCAGAACTGTGACTCAAATGGTGAGTGTTAGCCTTGAGAAAGAAAAAGAAAAGAATAGACCTCAGTCTCTGAAACCTTTCATATCAAACACAAGTACTTCACTATGCATCTAAAGCTTTCCTCGGTGTTGTTTTCTTTGCACATAAACCATTGGTCAATGGTTTGCCAAACTTAATCAAGATTATCCACGTGTCTAGCATTTAGGCTTTCCTAATTCCATCTAGTCTCAATCCAATCATTTCTATGCATTTCTCCCTGACTACTCCAACACTGTTGTACATGACCAAGAGTTTGAATACTGACTCAGTCCTCCAATGGCTGTATGATTTGAAACTCCCTCACTTGTTCACAGATGAGATCCAGTGGCCAAAAAAAAACAAAGTAGTACTGATACTCAGCAGGTACTCAATAAATTCCATTGGCTTTCCACACTACATCTTCCCAATGACCTCTCTGATACCTTTTATTTATCCTGTAATCTAATCAGAAATTACATCAGCACTGTTCACTAAATATTTCTTATGTTTATCTCTTCAGCTAAATTACTCTTCTAGCATTCTCTGCTATGCTCCATTCCTATCAAAATTTAATTAGGAAACTAATAATGATGATCATATTCTTTGATTAGAACTAGAAGACATGAGTGACTTATGAAAACACTGATATTTGGGCATCTGTTAGACACCAGGACACTCTGTGCTAGACATTATATACTTGAATAAGAAAAACAAAAATCCAGAGGGGGGGAGTGTAGTTGTAGTTGTGTGGGTGGAAGGGAAGGGAGGGTAAGAGAAAAACAAAGGAGGAGGCAACAATGCTTCATAAGAAATGTGCTCATTACCTTGTTCATGTAACTGTAACCCCTCTGTACAGTATTTTCACAATAAAAAAAACTTATTTAAAAAAAGAAAATGTGGGTATATATATATATATATATATATATATATACACAATATATATATATACACAATATATATATATATACACATACATATATATATATATATATATACACAATGGAATTCTATGCTTCCATCAGAAAGAATGACATTGCCCCATTTGTTAGGAAATGGAAAGACTTGGAAAAAATTATATTAAGTGAAGTAAGCCAGGCCTAAAGAAACATAGGTCCCATGGTTTCCCTTATTTGTAATAACTATGTCTGGGACAAGTAGAAAAGGTCAAAAGCTATGTGCATATAACCAGATAAGATGAAGTTAAATGAAATGAACCCCAAGATAGGGACACAGTGGTTTTCTTCTTTCTTGCTATTGTTTCTAACGTATTTATAAGGTACTATGTGATTTTTTTGTTACTTTGTATGTTCCTCCCCCATGAAATAACCCCTGTTTTCACTGTATTTGATGTTGGTATAATTTGGGGAGGGGAAGGGAAAAAAATGTTTAAATAGGGATACAGGTTGATCCATTGTAACAATGAGGTGTACAAGACACTATGTTGAAAACGAACTTTACTTTAGGCAGGGGGGTGCAGTTGTAGAGGTGAGAGGGAAGAGTGGGTAGGGGAAAAACAAAGGAGGAGGCAACAATGCTTGATAAGAAATGTACTATTACCTTGCTCCTGTAACTGTAACCCCTCTGTACAGTATTTTCACAATTGAAAAAAAAAAATAGGGGCTGGGAAGGTGGCTCAGTGGTAGAGCGCTTGCCTTGCATGCCTGAGGCCCTGGGTTCGATTCCTCAGCACCACAAAAGCAAAAAAGAAAAAACCCGGAAGTGGCGCTGTGGCTCAAGTGGTAGAGTTCTAACCTTGAGCTGAAGAGCTGAGGGACAGCACCCAGGCCCAGAGTTCAGGCCCCATGACCGGACCAAAAAAATTAAAAACATAAAAAAGAAAAACAAAAATCCCAGCCTTTCTGAAGTTTAACATTCATTTCTAAATAATAAACAGCATCTAAAAAGCAAGTTTTATAGCACACTAGACAGTGATATGCAGTGTTTGGTAAATGAGGTGAATCAAAAAGAATGACTGGTATGGGTAGATGCAATTTTAAATACATTGGTCAGAGAAGGTCCATAGTAGAAAGTTCTGATATATGCAGGTGAGGGCCCTGAGAAGGAGGAAGCCAAGCGTGGGAAGGCCTAGGGCAAAAGGAAGACAGGGTGATGTGAGCATATGGATGGAACAACAACGAAACGAATACTGCTAGAGCTGAGTGAATGAGGAAAGCTATAAAAAATGAGAACTACGATGGTCACATAAAGCCTGTAGGCCATTGTCAGGATGGTGGTTTTTCTTCTGCATATGAAGACAATACTTCTGAAGGTTGTGAGGTAAAAAATACCCTTTCTGATGCTATCAGGATCATTCTAACTCCTATGACACAGGCAAACTAGAAGAGACCAATGACAAAAGCAGAGGTCTTACTGAATGTCACTGTGATAATCCAGCCAAACAAGAATAACTAAACCTCAGGATAAGGGAAGGAAGTGATGAGAGGTAATCAGACACTGGATATATTCTGAAGGCAAAGCCAATAAGATGTCCTGAAAAACTGGAAGTAGCAGATGAGAGGACAAAGAAAGGCAGCTTTTTCCCAAGCTTGACGTGTTGAGAAAAAGATGAAAGTGCCACTGGCAGAGGTGGGGGTAGTGTGGTTGGTAGAGATTTGGTGAAGGAAGCCAGCTGTTCAGATACAGATGCAGTCAGCCTGAGATGTCCTCATGTGGAGAGTAAGCATATAGATACTACACATACAAATCTGAGCTTTATCCTGCCCACCGAGCCCGTTTGCTACTCTACTCTTTTATGAAAGCATTAGTGAGAAATTAAAGAGAGGAAGCAAAGAAGAGGGAGTGGAGAGGCTGTGCCTGCCCTTGAGGTAGCTGAGAAACAAGAATGGAAAAAGAAGGCCACACATCACAGAGCCTGAAACAGAACAGCAGCTGCCATCTTCCCTGCTAACCCTTGGAAAAGCATGCACAGCCAAATGAGATGGAGACATCTAAAGCCTGGTTTTCAGAAGCAAAACATGCTGCCATGGAATAAGACACCACACAGCCATCCTGTGAGAAAACTTCTAATGATCCCCCTCCCACAATTCAGTTCTCCGGTAGAATTTTGCCTAAAGAGCTATTTTCCTTTGGAAATCATGATTGTTTTCCAAAGAACAAAATAAGTTTGGATTTCCTAATGGCCAAAGAAGAGGACCAGATGAGGAACTGGGCAGCGCGAGCTAGCCCTGGCTCCCTATCCACAAGTCAGTCCTGATATGCCTCCAGACTTTAGTCTTTCTCTCTCTCATCATGTAAATCCAGCCACAGGGAAAAATATTTTCCACTGCCTACACACAGGGCTTTCTTGAGAGTTAGTGAATTAATGTGTGTGAAGCACTATGGGCTACTCAAATGAAGGGACAATGAAACTCTATTTGTCAGTTTCTGAGGTCTGAACAGAGCAATGTTAACTATTTTCTTACAAGCTCCATGGAAGCCAGCTTGGTGCAAGAGCCTGTATAATCCCAGATACCCTGCAAGGCTGGAACAGGAAGATAGTGAGCTCCAAGCCAGGCTGGGCAACTTAGGGAAGCCTTGTCTCCAAATAAAATTTAAAATAGCTGGGTGTAGCTCAGAAGTAGAGCACTTGCCAAACATGTGTAAGTCATTGAGTTCAATCCCTAGCACTGCAAAAGGTGGGGGAAGACACTGAAAAATTAGACTAATATATC